GGGGTGGGGGGGTAACAGATGTAGAACCTGTTTCTGAGATGAGTTTTTATGGGTTTAATCACGGACCACAGAGGGACTTTCAGGAAGGAACAGATTATTATAATTCCTCCTGGGGGGAGCATACGTGTGCATACTTAATGTCATGGCAATCGATCACAGCCAAGACAATTTACTAAAAACCATGAGGTACCAACTCCGTGGTGTCTCTGCTGAAAAGCCACCAAAGTCAGCGAGATTCATCCTCTGGGCACAATGAGTGTCTGCACAAAGTTTTGTTGGACTCTCTGGCAAATATGTGATATTTCAGTCTGGACAGAAGTGGTGCATCAGCTGACTTACTATCTACTAAACTCAATATAAACATCTATTTAAGAATCTAGTGATGGAGTAATAAAGGAAAGAGAGAGTGAAGTCGGTGTTTTATGGCAGCATTACACTTGTACTGCTTGTACAGTTGCACAGCATTGATTGTGAAGTCGTGCATCACTGGTCCAGTGAACCCTGATTTTGTTGAATGCACTTTCATCACCGTGGATATCCCTGGATACGGCCGTACAGTTGTTTGTTTTGGGCGGTTTGTAAGCTGTTGAGGCCGAATTGGGAATTTAAAGAATAAATAAATTATTGCAGAAGGTTTGAGCCACAAACGTACACCACCGTCTCCGAGGACGACGTTTTAAACTATTCATAAATTAATGTCCTCTATCGGGGAAACAGAATTGCTGCAGACACCACGAGGAGTTTGAGTTAAATTGAGGTGAACTGAGAGTGAGTGATAAATACTCTCACAGAAATAAGACTGCAGCAGCTCTGGCAGACAATACCAGCTCCCTCGATTCAAAAATAATGATGCAATCCTGCAGAGCGGAGGCCTTCACAGCATTTGTCAGTTCAGATGCTGTGGACGTGCTGATTAAATGGATTTAAGCAGTTGTTTAGTGAAGAGTGCCAATCAACGCCGGGTACCATGGTGACACACTCCGCACTAAACTTGCTGTAAGATGGATTTAGGTTCTAAAGCCTAATACCTGTGCAGCGTGCAAAAAAAGAAATATCAGTCTGTCCTTTGGAGTGTTATGCAGTGCCTCTAACATAAAACTAAATTCTTATTTTCCCTTCAACTAATCAGCCAAAGCTCTGCATGAGTTTATGGCAGCTCACGAATTGAACAATAATCTTGCAAGTTGTCTGATATCATATTATTGGTAAAATACGCATCATCTGAAGAATAATTTGTAGCTCGTATTACCATAAATAATCCTCCAAGCAAATGCAGTTCAAAAGATTCCATCAGTTGAGTTTTGTTTGGATGCTTAGAGATCCGCCAGCTTCTATTGAAAGTGCAGACTTTAAACTCTCCCCCAGTTTTTGTTTCATGTCGATAGACCGCGTAAAACCGGAGATATGATGTTATGAACGTCCGTGGGGAAAAAATAAATATGTGTAAAATATAAGCATATGAAATACATGCTGACGGCGTCGCGTTTCTTTCAAAATCTCGTGACAAAACGAAAGTGAAAGAAAGTTCCTGGAAGTGCAGCTCCTGTAATGTGCTTTGTATATAGCACCTGCTTTGTCTATAGGTGCATATATAGTTGTATATATTCGTATTTAGTTGATTTTATATCAAATTTACCTCTTCAAATTCACATCTGCAACCTATGTTTACATTTTCCACTTTCAAAATGCTTCGTTAAGCATGTTTGTGGTTTTTATTGTCATAAATAACACATTTCTTCAAATCAGATTTTGTATTTTCTGTGTGTTTTTGAGCCCAAAATGTTATTATAGTTGGTTAAAGTGAGAAAATAATGGTCAGATCATATAGGTGGTGATGTGCTGACAAAAAGGTACCAAACATGGGCACAGTGAACATGTTTTTATGTGTTATATTATAATTGAATTTCCCTTCTGGGGTAAACAAAGTATTTTTCATTTTTCATATAAAGACAAAACTAAAAGTCTGCAAACACTGGTCAAGACCTCTAAGGGTTAAATAAAAATGCAGCTCCAAACTGGATATAAGATCACCACTAAGCCAGCTCCAAAAAGGCAGAAGTTTATCATCTTTTGCCTCACCAAACAAATTATTCATCATCGTCACCCACATTTGCTTGGTTCTGTAAACCCGTCAGTCCTCGTGGTACCGCCTTAGAGCTCAGGTGTCTTAGTTGGCCTCGGCAGAGCTGCCACCACATCAGATCTACTCAAGTGTTACCGCAAAATGAAATTCTTTCACTATTTCATTTTCGCTCTTAAAAATCAATACTGACCTTGTGGAAGAGCATCATAAAAATATTTCTTTTTCAGGCCCTTTCATGGCCCCGATGCCAAGCTGCAGGGACTGACTGACAGATTCAGAGTTCAGATCAGATGAAACCAATGAATTATTTTTGCTCCAGTCCTGTATGTGACGGTATCCAGTCGGCTGATGCTATTTAAAGTGTACTTTAGGCGTGACATGCACACGACGGCGACGCTTTGATCAGATGAGTAGCATGCGCTCGGCTGTCTCTGTGAGAAACATACGTGTCCCAGATCGGCTGCGAATCTGTTATCTTCCTCTCAGACGCGTTAAATGAGCAGAAACGATCCAGGTGCATCAGCTCCCCACAAATGTATTCTTAATCCATTAATTTTTCATCTCGCACCATGAAGTTTACATTTGGGGTTATAAATAAAATGTCTCAACAATTATTGGAATAACTGAAATGAAATTTGGCACAGATATGGAGTGCTGTGAGAAAGTATC